TCTGGCCCTGGGGCAGAGTGCTGGGCATGTCATTTAATCGCCTTTTCGAAGTCATTTGGCGTCAGGATACATCGGATGGCTTGTGTTAATCAAATTTTGTGGCTCTTCATAAAAAAATTCATTTGATTCTTCGACTCTCAACTGGTTAGCGGCTTGCTAAAAACTGAGTCCATATTGGGACTTGAGTAGCTCACCATTTCCTTGCTGTCATCTGTGTAGGACCCATCTTGTTTAAGTAGGGGCCCAATACTGGGCGTTGTTCTCGATTTTGATTTGGCATAGGAGAAGAAATACTTTGGGTTTCTTTCGATTTCATTTATAGCTTTTAGTTCTTCCCGCGATTCCTGACCCTAAAGGATTCTTTTAGCTTAAGTTCGATGCTTGCTATTTCTCTGACCAGTGTCTCCCTGCGCATTTCAGATATATTGACCTCTTTTAGCCGCTCTGTTATTCTTTTCCCTCGCCTGTAAAGGGAGCGCCTGTCTCTTTCTATTTTACATCTACTCCTCCTTTTTCTTAGAGGAATAAAGCCTTGTGCATACATCGAGTGCCACCGAGTTTATCTGTTCTAGGCATAAGTTTGGGTCTGTGTTGCTAGTATATCTTCCCAGCTTATATCGGTTAGAACTTGGTTTACTTGGTCCCACTTTATGTTTTTTGTTATTGAAGTTGAATTTTGGGGAATGCTCCCCCGTGACTAGTCTCATTTTGTCGGTCTGGGGCTCCTCGCATACATGTCTGAACCTCAATTATGTTGTGATCTGAGTATATTGTTTTTGATATGGTGACATTTCTTATCGAAACATCATTGTTAGTGAATATGAGGTCTAGTGTATTCTCCAGTCTTGTAGGCTCTATTATTTGTGGTTTAAATTGAATTTTGTGCAGAGATTTAAAAGCTCGTGTGAGTGTGAGTTTTCATCAGAGCTGCCTTGGTGTTATTTCTGCAACAATATTATTTGCTATATTCCTCCATTTTAGGTGCCTTAAGTTGAAATCCCCCAGGAGCAAGATGTTGGGTGCAGGAGCTGGAAGATTTTCCAGACAGTGGTCAATTTTTAAAGCTGTTTCCTGGAATTGCTGGGATGTTGCATCAGGAGGCTTGTAGACTATCACAATGACTAGGTTTTGGTTCTCGACCTTTACTGCTAAAACTTCCACTACGTCATTTGAGGCATTAAGCAGTTCTGTGCAAACAAGTGACTCTGCAATGTACAGGCCAACCCCCCCCCCTTTTGCCTGTTCACTCTGTCACATCTGTATAGGTTGTAACCTGGGATCCATATTTCATTGTCATTGTCCACACCCCTCTCCTGGCTAAAAGCGAGAGGTTTTCATTTCTCTTCCACACCTCTCCCCTGGTTAGAAGCGACAGTCTACGTGCTATATTCCAAATCTATACCCTGGCTAGAAGCGAGAGGCTGGATACTATCTTCCACACCTCTCTCCTGGCTAGAAGCTACAGCCTACATGCTGTCTTCTACTCCTCTCCCCTGATTAGAAGCGACTGTCTGCATGCTATGTTCCAGACCTCTGCACTGGCTTGAAACGACAGGCTGCATGCTATCTTCCACACCTGTTCCCTGGCTAGAAGCGACAGTCTGCAAGCTATCTTCCAAACCTCTACCCTGGATAGAAGCGAGAGGCTGCATTGTGTCTTCCACATCTCTCCCCAGGTTAGAAGAGAGAGTCTGCATGCCATCTTCCACACTTCTCTCGTGGCTAGAAGCAACAGCCTGCATGCAATTTTCCACACGTCTTCGCTGATTAGAAGCGACAGTCTGCATGCCATCTTCCACACTTCTCCACTGGCTAGAGGCGACAGTCTGCATACCATCTTCCACACTTCTCTCGTGGCTAGAAGCGACAGCCTGCCTGCTACCTTTCATACCACTCTCCTGGCTAGAAGCGACAGGTGGTATGCTATCTTCCACACGTCTTCAACACTTCTCTCGTAGCTAGAAGCGACAGCCTGCATGATATCTTCCACACCTCTCTCGTGGCTAAAAGCGACAGGTGGTATGCTATCTTCCACACCTTTCCCCTAGCTAGAGGCGACAGGCTGCATGCTGTCTTTCACACCCCTTTCCTGGTTAGTAGCGAGAGGTTGCATGCTACCTTCCATACCTCTCCCCTGGTTAGAAGCGACAGTCTGCATGCTATATTTCAAATCTTTCCCCTTGCTAGAAGCTGGAGGCTGGATACTATCTTCCACACCTCTCTCCTGGCTAGAAGCGACAGCCTGCATGCTAAGTTCAACGCCTTTCCCCTGGTTTGAAGCGACAGTCTGCATGCTATCTTCCACACCTCTCTTCTAGCTAGAAGCGACAGTCTACATGCTATCTTCCACACCGTTCGTCTTGCTTAAGCAAATATAATTTACTGTTGAAGGTTTTCTACAGTTGTACATTATGTAGATGTTCGTCCAGTTGACATATACATCAGACTCATCAAACACATGAGTCCCATGTATATGAAGGAATTTACTGTAGTTTGAACTTTGCAAATAATCCTCTGATTACTAGTCTTGTGCTGTTGGCACTGGAGTTCTTTATAAGGGTTATGGACGTGCTAAGAATTTCCTCTCATCTATTTGTTTTAAATCGTTATTTCGAACAGAAAAAAAGAAGAGAGAGGAGGGAGAGAGTGATATATATATATAAGAGTGAGAAAGAGAAGAGAGAGAGAGAGAGAGATAGAGGAGAGAGAGAGAGAGAGAGAGAGAGAGAGAGAGAGAGAGAGAGAGAGAGAAAGACTGACTCTCACGACCTTGGTGGTGTTCTAACAATAATATGTAATATTTTATTCTCGCCAGATCTCCTGCAACAACACTCCAGCCATAATACTTATAGTACGTCAACTCAGGGACGTAAACATTAACATAATTCTCCTTTATGTTATGCATATGTTTCTGGCTGGACAAATTCCGTTTCAGGTTAGTCACAACTATTAATGAGTGAATCGGGTACAGAAAACAACTAAATTCTGATAAATCTACTTCCTATATGCAAGTCTAGCATGTAGGAAGTCCAGACTTACATGCACAGGAGTCCTGATCAGCAAAATGCATACAGCTATGAGGGCACCTTTACCAAATTCAACTTCAACAACAAGAACATCATCTGGGATCAGGTAAACTTTGCTCTAAATGAAACCTGATGGGAGGATATCTTAAATTACATAAACCCTAACCAATGCCTTGAAAAGATCAACCTCCTGGTAGCTGAAGTATGTTCAATGTATATTCCTATAAGAAAAAGGAAAAGAAGAAGTAAAGTGGCGAGAGAGAGACGCTCCCTCTACAGGAGAAGACGAAGAATCACTGAGCTCCTCAAGAATGCCAGATTATCTGATACACTTAAGGAAGTGCTAACCAGGGAAGTGGAAAATATTGAGCTAAAGTTACTGCAAGAAACCCCTCTCACGGGCCCTATATATGCTATCGAGAAGGAGCTTAGACACAGGCGAGATTCCACAATCACTTTAAACAACAGATATAGCCCCACTCCATAGCGGTGGCAGCAAAGCAGTAGCTAAGAACTAGAGACCAATAGCTTTAACGTTCAATATCATAAAAATCTTTGAAAGAGTTCTAAGAAGCAGGATAGCAAACCACCTGGACTCCCAAAAATTGCACAACCCAGGGCAACATGGTTTCAGAGCAGGTCGCTCCTGCCTTTCGCAACTGCTAGACCACTATGATATGGTCCTAGATGCACTGGAAAACAAACAGAATGCAGATGTAGTATACACAGATTTTGCAAAAGCCTTTGACAAGTGCTATCACGGTGTAACAGCACACAAAATGCGTGCTAAAGGGATAACTGGCAAAGTAGGCAGATGGATCTTCAACTTTCTAACCAATCGCACACAGAGAGTAGTGGTAAACAGAGTTAAATCAGATGCTGCCATAGTGAAGAGCTCTGTCCCACAAGGCACAGTACTCGCTCCTATCCTGTTCCTTATTCTCATATCAGACATAGACAGAGATGTAAACCACAGCACTGTATCATCTTTTGCAGACGATACTAGGATCTGCATGAGAGTGTCATCCATTGAGGACACGGCGAAGCTCCAAGAAGATATAAACCAAGTTTTCTAATGGGCAACAGAGAACAATATGATGTTCAATGAAGACAAATTCTAACTACTCCGTTATGGAAAACTGGAGGAAATAATAACTAGGACTGAGTATACTACAAACTCTAATCACACAGTAGAGCGGAAAAGTAATGTGAAGGACCTGGGTGTGGTAATGTCCGAAGACCTCACCTTCAAGGATCACAACAATGCCACTATCACATCTGCTAGGAAACTGATAGGATGGATACTGAGAACATTCAAGACAAGAGATGCTAAGACAATGATGATCCTTTTTAAATCACTTGTTCTCTCTAGGCTGGAATACTGCTGTATATTAACATCCCCATTCAAGGCAAATGAAATTGCGGTTCTAGAGAATGTACAGAGAACCTTTACTACTGGGAACGCCTGGAAGCACTTGACTTGTACTCGCTGGAGCACAGGCGAGAGAGAGATATATCATAATCTACACCTGGAAGATTCTGGAGGGACTGGTCCCTAATATGCGGACAGAAATCACTCCATACGAAAACAAAAGACTTGGCAGGCGATGCAACATACCCCCAGTGAAAAGTAGGAGCGTCACTGGTACACTTAGAGAAAACGCAACAAGTGTCCGGGGCCCAAGACTGTTCAACAGCTTCACACCAGTAATAAGGAGCATTACCAGTAGACCCCAGGTTGTCTTCAAGAGGGAGCTGGACAGATACCTAAAGTCGGTGCCGGATCAGCTGGGCTGTGGCTTGTACGTTGGATTGCGTGCGGCCAGAAGTAACAGCCTCACTGATCAGGCCCTGATCCACCGGGAGGCCTGGTCATGAACCGAGCTGCGGGAGCGTTGATCCCCGGAATACCTTCCAGGTAGACTCCAGGTATGGATAGCAAGTGAAGATCACAATGAACAGGAATCTACTTACCAGATCCAAGTCCTCAGGCAGCTCTGGTATAAGTCTGTGGTCGGGCTGAGGCACAGGTGGGGTTACAACCTTGGGAACAGGCTGAGGTACAGGCTGAGGTACAGGCTGAGGTACAGGCTGAGGTACAGGCAGGGGTACATGCTGAGGTACAGGCAGGGGCACACGTTGAGGCCTTGTATGATGTACTGGCTTGAATGCAAGGCGGGTGAAATCACGGTTAGCAAATCCATTAGAATTTTTATCTGGGAAGATGATGGGAGAATGGTCTGTGCCGGGTCTGACATTAACCCCTGGCACCACAGACCTGGGTCTCTGCTCTCGTGGCTCAGCCGCTTCGTCTAAGTGGAACAAGGTCACAACAACCACAAGACACACCAGCTTCATGCTGTAAGCAAAAAATGCACTTGTCAGGGGATGGAGTGGCGACGGAGTGAACATTACTCACCACTCTCATGCACACTATTTCTAACTTTACATGTAGAAATAATCTTCCTACTTTACCGAAAACAAAAGATGAACGTTGCAGATCAAGCCTTTACTGGGACAAAAATTATTTTTGTGTAGAGCTTTATCAATCTATAATTCTATAAATTAAATCTTTGGAGCTTACTAAAGCCACTATGGTGTTCTTAGCACCAGACTTCCTTACTATTAACTATAAAATAATAATTATTGGATATTACTCTCTTTATATCATTTGTAATAAATTTAATAGGCTGGCGCATGACACAATACTAGCTGCTAAATGAAGCTAAGTGAACATAGATGTGGTCTCATATCAAAACCTTAAGATTATCTTGCTAGTAAAAATAACAAGAGACCAAAGCGACTAAATAAATCAAGGGTAACACTACAAACTTCTCCATCTTCACGCAGTAATCTCAAGCGACTTGGACTCAGAACCAACACAAGAACAACTGAACAAATGACGCCAGAAAAACTAGTACCTTAGATCTACATTTATAATATCCTGTAAAGATCTACATTTTAATGCCCTGTAAGTGGACAACCATTGTAATCAAACACTTAACATAATTAACTGGCTACAGTAAACAAAGTTCGAATGAATAACTGTTTCAGAACAGAAAATTCGTCGCAATATAATTTCTTTTGGGGGTTGAAGACGAATCTTCATAACAAAAAACTGAGGTTGACAGTCATTCATTAGGAATATATCTATTAAAGGGTTTATGGACTAGAGAGCTAGCAAATAGACGTACTACGGATGATCCTGAGGCTGTGGATGAGACAGTTGGGTTTTCTGGTCAAGCACGTCAAGGAATTAGAGAACGTGTAAAGTATGGCAACAATAATAGTCCCGGAGCTAAGGGGTATGTCCTATGAAAAAAGGTTAAGGGAAATCAACTTGACGACACTAGAGAACAGAAGGGATAGAGCCACATGATAATTACATAAGAAATACTGAGAACAACTGACAATGTGGATGGGGACAGAATGTTTCAGAGATGGGACACACCAACAAGGGATGACAACTGAAGTTGATAACTCAGATGAGTCACAGGAATGTTATGAAGTATTTCTTCAGTGAGAGAGTTATCAGGAGAGTGATGTAGTGCTGGCAGGATCCATACATTGCTTTATGAAGAGGTATGATAAAGCTTATGGAGCAGGGAGCGAGTGGACCTAGTAGCGACCAGCATAGAGGCGGGGCCAGGAGCTATGACTCTACCCCTGCACCCACAATTGGGTAAGGACAAATGTGTAAGAACACACACATATACACAACAAGCCAACTGTCTACCGACAAATGTATTTGACAACCAGTATCTAACAACAGGTCAAGTAATGAGTAATAAGAGTCGACTCAGATAAATGATAAATAAGATATTAAATATTTAAACTTCCTGTGTTTCTTAATAACAACTGTGTAATGAACATTCCCTTATATATTAAATATATAAAGTAAAAGGACACAAGTGCGACTAATATGACATTTTATTGTGGCAACGTTTCGCTCTCCAGGAGCTTTGTCAAGCCGTTACGGCTTGACAAAGCTCCTGAAGAGCGAAACGTTGCCACAATTTTAAATATAGTCATTATAATTGTAAAAAATAGAATATATAGGAAAAGAATTGGTATCGGCAGTTCGCTCCTGCCTCTCACAACTACTGGATCACTATGATATGGCCTTGGATGCACTGGAAGAAAATCAGAATGCAGATGTAATATACACAGACTTTGCAAAAGCGTTTGACAAATGCGATCATGGTGTAACAGTGCACAAAATACGTGCTAAAGGAATAACTGGGAAAGTGGGGAGATGGATCTTCAACTTCCTAACAAATCGAACACAAAGAGTAGTGGTCAACAGAGTTAAATTGGAGGCTGCCATAGTGAAGAGCTCTGTTCCACAAGGCACAGTACTCGCCCCCATCTTATTTCTCATCCTCATATCAGACATAGACAGAGATATACACCACAGCACCGTATCATCCTTTGCAGATGATACTAGGATCTGCATGAGGCTGTCATCTGCTGAGGACGCGGTTAACCTCCAAGAAGATATAAACAAAGTTTTCCAGTGGGCAACGGTAAACAATATGATGTTCAATGAGGACAAATTCCAACTACTCCGTTATGGAAAACTGGAGGAGATAATAACTAGAACAGAGTATACTACAAACTCTGGTCATACAATAGAGAGGAAAAATAATGTAAGGGACCTGGGAGTAGTAATGTCTGAGTATCTCACTTTCAAGGATCACAACAGTGCCACGATCACAAGTGCAAAGAAAATGATAGGATGGATAATGAGAACGTTCAAAACGAAAGATGCCAAGCCCATGATGATCCTTTTCAAATCACTTGTTTTGTCTAGGCTGGAATACTGCTGTACATTAATATCTCCATTCAAAGCAGGTGAAATTGCAGATCTAGAGAGTGTACAGAGAACCTTTACTGCACGCATAAGTTCTGTCAAGCACCTTAACTACTGGGAACGTTTGGAAGCACTTGACTTGTACTCGTTGGAACGCAGGAGAGATATATCATAATCTACACTTGGAAAATCCTGGAAGGAATGGTCCCGAATCTGCACACAGAAATCACTCCCTACGAAAGTAAAAGACTGGGCAGGCGATGCAAAATACCCCCAATTAAAAGTAGGGGCGCCATTGGTACACTAAGAGAAAACACCATAAGTGTCCGGGGCCCAAGACCGTTCAACAGCCTCCCATCAAGCATTAGAGGAATTACCAATAAACCCCTGGCTGCCTTCAAGAGAGAGCTGGACAGATACCTAAAGTCAGTGCCGGATCAGCCGGGCTGTGGCTCGTACATTGGACTGCGTGCGGCCAGCAGTAACAGCCTGGTTAATCAGGCCCTGATCCACCGGGAGGCCTGGTCATGAACCGGGCCGCGGGGGCGTTGATCCCCGGAATAACCTCCAGATATATATATATTATAAAATATATATATATATATATATATATATAAATATATATATATATATATATATATATATATATATATATATATATATATATATATATATATGTATATATTTTATTTTTTTTTATTAACACACTGGCCGATTCCCACCCAAGGCAGGGTGGCCCGAAAAAAGAAAAACTTTCACCAGGTGGCCCGGTGGCCTGGTGGCTAAAAGCTCCCGCTTCACACACGGAGGGCCCGGGTTCGATTCCCGGCGGGTGGAAACATTTCGACACGTTTCCTTACACCTGTTGTCCTGTTCACCTAGCAGCAAATAGGTACCTGGGTGTTAGTCGACTGGTGTGGGTCGCATCCTGGGGGACAAGATTAAGGACCCCAATGGAAATAAGTTAGACAGTCCTCGATGACGCACTGACTTTCTTGGGTTATCCTGGGTGGCTAACCCTCCGGGGTTAAAAATCCGAACGAAATCTTATCTCTTATCTTATCATTCACTCCGTCACTGTCTTGCCAGAAGGGTGCTTTACACTACAGTTTTTAAACTGCAACATTAGCACCCCTCCTTCAGAGTGCAGGCACTGTACTTCCCATCTCCAGGACTCAAGTCTGGCATGCCGGTTTCCCTGAATCCCTTCATAAATGTTACTTTGCTCACACTCCAACAGCACGTCAAGTATTAAAAAACATTTGTCTCCATTCACTCCTATCAAACACGCTCACGCATGCCCGCTGGAAGTCCAAGCCCCTCGCACACAAAACCTCCTTTACCCCCTCTCTCCAACCTTTCCTAGGCCGACCCCTACCCCGCCTTCCTTCCACTACAGACTGATACACTCTTGAAGTCATTCTGTTTCGCTCCATTCTCTCTACATGTCCGAACCACCTCAACAACCCTTCCTCAGCCATCTGGACAACAGTTTTTGCAATCCCACACCTCCTCCTAACTTCCAAACTACGAATTCTCTGCATTATATTCACACCACACATTGCCCCCAGACATTTACATCTCCACTGCCTCAGCCTTCTCCTCGCTGCAACATTCATCACCCATGCTTCACACTCATATAAGAGCGTTGGTAAAACTATACTCTCATACATTCCCCTCTTTGCCTCCAAGGACAAAGTTCTTTGTCTCCACAGACTCCTAAGTGCACCGCTCACCCTTTTCCCCTCATCAATTCTATGATTCACCTCATCTTTCATAGACCCATCCGCTGACACGTCCACTCCCAAATATCTGAATACATTCACCTCCTCCATACTCTCTCCCTCAAATCTGATATCCAATCTTTCATCACCTAATCATTTGTTATCCTCATAACCTTACTCTTTCCTGTATTCACTTTTAATTTTCTTCTTTTGCATACCCTACCAAATTCATCCACCAACCTCTGCAACTTCTCTTCAGAATCTCCCAAGAGCACAGTGTCAGCAGCAAAGAACGACTGTGAGAACTCGCACTTTATGTGTGATTCTTTACCTTTTAACTCCACGCCTCTTGCCAAGACCCTCGCATTTACTTCTCTTACAACCCCATCTATAAATATATTAAACAACCACAGTAACATCACACATCCTTGTCTAAGGCCTACTTTTACTGGGAAATAATCTCCCTCTTTCCTACATACTCTAACTTGAGCCTCACTATTCCTCGTAAAAACTCTTCACTGCTTTCAGTAACCTACCTCCTGCACCATACACCTGCAACATCTGCCACATTGCCCACCTATCCACCCTGTCATACGCCTTTTCCAAATCCATAAATGCCACAAAAATCTCTTTAGCCTTATCTAAATACTGTTCACTTATATGTTTCACTGTAAACACCTGGTCCACACACCCCCTCCCTACCTTTTCTAAAGCCTCCTTGTTCATGTGCTATCCTATTCTCCGTCTTACTCCTAATTCTTTCAATAATAACTCTACCATACATTTTACCAGGTATACTCAACAGACTTATCCCCCAATAAT